GGACTATCTACGCATGCAAAAAAGTTACTAACATTGTATTTTAGTTTTCTGAGAACGAAGCCGATTTTTCAAAGATCCTCTGGAAACCCGGTCTCTGGAATTTTTTCAAAAGTTGCTTCCGCTTGTGGAAAGTTCTGCTCAAGTCTTGGCTATTGAACAGCGAAAATCGCAGGTCTCTATCTCATTCCTATCAAAAGTTATTCAAAAAGCAACCGAGTGCCAACCATTTTGAAACGGAGAGTAGATATCTGTGACTGTATCAAATAAGGATTAGTCACCACATAACTTCAGTTAAGTTTGAAATCTTTTTCAATAAACAACTCTTCGCGGTACTGTCGCTTTTTGTATTCCCGGTAATGTCGCTGTATCTAAACACACTGGCCTCGGATTACAATTTTCTGAAAAGAAAGGAAAGCAATAGGCTTAGGATTCTTTTTTAAAGAGCATTTGAAGTAAAAAAGGAGGAATGTGTTTTTCAGCCTGAAGATCACTGTGAAACATTTCAGATCAAAACCCAGCTTATGTATCAAGCGTCTGCATCAAATTTCTGTTTCGCTGAAAAAAGGACGTTTTCTCCCAAACCGTATGAACCAAATCGGAAATAATAAAAGAGAAACAAATGAGTGCTAAAATCTAGTTGTTTTTGAATCAAATCTTTTGTCAGATCGAAGCAAGGAGGAAAACAGACTTGAAAAGAGAACAATGCAAAAAAATGAATCCGAGGCCAGTAAATAGATTTTCTCTTCTTAGTGCTGAAGTTCTTTATGTAACGAAACTTCTGGTTTAATATTAAATACTTTTCCGACAGCGTCTGATTTTATGAATCATAATCAAACGTTTTAGAACTTATCAAACAATGAAAAAATTATATGAAATTAATTGATAATCACCATCTTATTGCAAATGAATTACATCAAATATGTAGATTAGATTAACCTTTTACCCTGGAGGAGCTTTTTCGAAGATCCAGAAAATGTGGCTTTTGAGTGGTTACTATGCCCATTCCATACTTAAAATAAATGAAGTTGCCTAGGTGACGGAATATAGAATGTCTACAGGCGTGGAGGGGAACAATACACTGTAAAAAATAAAATGTGCTCGGCGCACACTGAACTTGGACTTTTTTTGCACGCTGAAAACGGCTTGATCAGTGTGCCACACACTGGAATTGCACATATAGCTCGCATAGCCAGAACGAGAAAAAAGACCGAAGAAAAGAATAATTCTTTCAATTTTTTTCCATAAAGACACGCAAGATAAAAATTCAGATTACACAGTGACAATTTGCACATCATTTTGGACTCGAAATGCACACTTGGAGGAATGCACACTAGCAAGCACACTTTATTTCTCACAGTGCATGAAAGGTGCAATTCTTTTCTTTCTATTGTCTGAACATGTTCTGTCAAATTCAACATTTTGAGAAAAACAATGTCATATTCGGAATCAGGATCAAAAACTGGATCGGGTGACATGGATCTCAGTATTTTGGGGACTATTTGGAATTTGAGTGAAAATTTTGCTTTTTGGACTTTTGAAAAAAACGAAAACTTCGAGGCCATTCAAAACTATTGGCACCTGTGTCATTTGATCCAGTTCTTGACCCTGAATCTGAATAAGACATTGTCTTGTCCATATGTTGAATTTTGGTTGAGAAAATTACAAGGTACAGGTTTAATTTCAGAGTTTTTCACACTGAATTCATAAAAATTGAATTCTTCAACACCAAGTAAAACTTTTCAAAACCGGTACATACCTTTTTCTCATAAGTGAGAATGAGGGATGAATGACAATTTTATCATCCAACTACTAGGACTAGATAGGCTTGCAAGATTAGTCAGCGAACCTTTTACCATCCTCCTCGTCTTCAACGGTTCTTAAAGTCAATTTGAGCCTTAAAATTTCCAAAATTCGTTCTCTAGAACCAGTTTTTGATGCAGAGTAAGAAAAAAGTTGCTTTAGAATTTTAAAAATAGAATGAATGGTTGAATTTTGAGTTTTATTCAAAATTTTGCCGATTTTCACATATCTTTTAAAAAATGATTTAAAATTTTTTTAACTGAACAATGTGTTCCAAAATTAGAAGATTAAGTTTTTTCTATGCACCTCGATGTGCTCTATCCAAGCATGGTAAAAAAACAAAATATAAAATTCTGCACCTTAAAAGACGAGAAAGAAAGAATGTGTAAGAATGTTTGAATCTTACGAGGAACATTATTCCACTGTAACACTCCGTTTTCAATCGTTCACACATCGATCGATAGAGGGTATCGGGATAATAAAAAGACTAAAAGGTTTCGTGCCAATGATTCTTGAAGATCCGGTTTTAACTCTGAAAAATAATCAAAATCTTTGGTTAGTGAGACACAATTGCAGCCTGCAAATTTCTGATTAAAATGAGACATCTCCCAGCTCTACACGATCTTTCGTTGCAAAATTATAGAATTTACAACAAAAGCCTTGAATTAAATTTTTTCTGATTTCTGTAGCTTTGAGCTGAGAATGAACATTTACGGCTTTCCTTGTGAATTCTATAATTTTGCAAAGAAAGGGTGTATAGAGCTGAGAGATGTCTCATTCTAATCAGAAATTTGCAGGCTGCAATTGTGTTTCACTAACGAAAGATTTTGATTATTTTTCAGAGTTTCTGAAAAACTACTTTTGCAGAAAACCGCATCTTCAAGAGTCATTGGCACGAAACCTTTTAGTCTTTTTACTATCCCGATACCCTCTATCGATCGATGTGTGAACGATTGAAAAAGGAGTGTTACAGTAGAATGGTGTTCCTCGTTAGTACTTTCTATGTCACTCCCCCCTAATGTGAACATTTCAATACTGGACACGGTGTATTAAGACAACTTCACAGAAAATTTCTTTTCTTGTGTAATTGTAGAAAGAATCCTTATAGCATTAATTATCTATGTATTGCTAAAGCTATGGAAAAAGCTTTTAAGAAAACTTAAAAATTTGAAACTCTTTGATTTCTAAAGTTAATTATCTCAGTCAGAATCCATGGAAAAAAAATTTTTTACCAACCAAGATATGACGCTTCGTTATTTTTGTATATCGATTTTATCAATGTCCACGAGTGTGGACATCCGAGGGTAAAGGTTTAATCACAATCGGCTTCATTCAAATATATTATGGTCTCGATAGATCGATTAATGAATGAAGTTCTTTTATAAATGTTGCTACAATCAAAACACAGAGAACATCACTAAAAATTATGTGAAATATTCATTTAATGAAAATAATAAAAATGCAGATCATAACGCTGGTATATGAATAGAAGCAAAGAATTTCGTATATCACGTAGCGATGAAACACTGCAGGTGACTTTATATATGAAATTGATGTCACTTTTGTTGTAAACAAAAAAAGTATTTGATTTTATATAAAATCTTGTTTTCCAGAAGTTTCAATTTTTGAAACGAGCTACAATTAGAGGGATATGATCTTTTTGTAATAGCCACAATTTCAAAGTCAAAACAAGCATACAAGTATTATGAGAAAAATAAAGTATCTCACAAAGCATCAGCTAAGAAAAATATTTCATAATAACGACTTATTCTCAACACATTTTCTCTATCAAGTTTTTTCTTTCTCTCTCCTTGTACTTTTGACTTAAGAGGAAACCCTCTGACGTGTCCAACTCAGTTTTCTTTCGCTCATATGCCAAACGATAGCATATATCGAGATAGTAAAAAGCCTAAAAGGGTTCGTGCTTCTTGAATGGCATGGCTCTTGAAGACCAGTTTTTCAAGAACCCTAAAAAATAACCAAAACCTCTTCTTAATAAGGCATGATTGTAGCGCGCAAATTTCTGATTAAAATGAGACATCTTCTGCCTCCACATGACCTTTCTTTGCAAAGTTATAGAATTTACAAGGAAAGCCCTAAATTAAGCCTTCCCCCCCCCAAAAAAATGGTGATTTTCGGTGAAAAACTTGGTTTTGAGATACGCACATGGAAAGATAGCCCGAAGTGTCTACTTCCAGAATCTGTATCGCTTTTGGTTACAAAGCTGGTATTTCGGGGATTTTGAGCAAGTTTTCTAAGAGCCTCGAAAAACGGATCTTCAAATAATGTTTTTTTTCCTGGATACGTATGCAATTAAAATTTTTTTGAACACACAGATTTGTAGAGGAAACGTTTCTGATCAAAATAAGACCTCGCACAACTCTGTATGTCTTGCATCAAAAAGTTAGGCATTTTCCTAGAAGTCCTAAAATCGAGTATTTCATACGGCGTTTAATACAGCGTTTTCACCATATAAGAGTTACACCTGCAGTACGTCCCAAGATTTTTAATAGCGGTTTGTCGTGGAGAGTTCGTTCTTTTTTTGTTTAAAAGAGGAAAAGAAACTACATGGACTGACTGGCGTCAGTTTTTGAATTAGGTCTTAGTTTTTTGTCAAACTGAGGATACAATCATCATAAGGACTTTGATGATCTTTGAGTACATTTTTTGAAAACTTTTTGTTTAAAAATGATTGAAAAAACTCATCATTAATAACAACTTTTTTCACTCATCACTGATATTTGTGACGTTGTTGAATATACCGTCTTCACTAAAGAATCATTTGCTATCATATGATCCAGATATAAATTTGGAATTGATTGTGCTAATGGTAAATCATTAGATGTTAGGTTGTTGTTAATACTATCATTTTTTGTTTTTCTACTTGCGTTTATTTGAATGAGTTCAAAATCAATCGATACATCATCTTTTTCATTTGTTGATTGTTGTTCAATGGGAGAGCGGTTTGTTGATAATGATGATACACTATTTCGTAAAATGTTAACCGATAGACTATCATCCTGATCCAATGTTCCACTAGTAACGCTGATATTGCTCTGTTGAGTCTTTGAATTTATTGAAACTATATGATGATTTAATAGAACTTCTCGTTCATGGACGGGGTTATTATCCGTCTCAACTAATGTTTTATTAATATTTTTATCACTATTGTTGTCATCATCATTGAGTAATTTACTTTTAATACAAAATATAAATAGAAAACATTTTCGAAGTTGCTTTTTCATATCTAAAGCGAAATATGGCAGATACGTTAGTTATACGGCTCTCCTTTTTTCGATTGAAACACACTTTACAATCCAGACGCAGATATTCTGTATGTAAAAGTCACGGACATCTGCCACAAATCTTTTCTGAAGTATTGTGAAGGAAAAACACGAACTTGAACAACTCGGAATAAACGAGAAACTACTACATGCTGATCATTCTTTTCTGTAGATTAGTCTTAAATTCGAATTAATAGAAAATGTGTTGTTGAATTAGAGATGCGATGAAAGAATAACGTTATACTTTTTCGTCCTTTTTATTCTGTGACTAGCTATCATAGATTTCTTTTGCTCTTACGTTTGATAGATAACATACCATATGTTCTTACGAAAAGAAAATGTTGACACAAAACTTCCACTAAGCTTCTAGCATTCGAATATTGACATTTGCTTCACATTTGTCACAATTTTCCTTCACAGCAAAGAGATTATATACTTGCATTTTGTTCTTCAATTAGACATCTAGCGTAATCGTATCTATCTTTTATTTCTCGCATATGGACATATGTAGACAATGCAAGAACAAAAAAAACAATGGAAATAGGAATTCTTTGCTTTATACGAAGATGAGTCATGTTTTGAAAATGACTGGTTAGAACAATAAAACTGTTTCTTTTGTGGCTATCGATGACTAAATAGTTGAAGAACACAAAGTAAAAGAAGATAGAGATAACATAAGAGAAAAAGGATCAAAGATCTTAATGATGGTATGGCCAACGGCAAAAAGTGCTTCCTTTCGTGCACTTTTAGGCGTTTTTTGGGGGAAAAATTTCTCGAGCCCAGAGATATCGCAATCAACAATTATCCATTCAAAATAAATTTGAGTATCGGCAGTTGAAAATGCACTTAGATTACACTTAGACTACACTAGCGATTTAAATGGATGTAGAGTCTATGCATCTATTCAAATCGAAAACTTGTCCCAAAAAACCGCTTAATAGATGGCGTTATTCAGCCCTTGATCGTATTGCTGACAAAACAGAATTAGAAAAGGATTAAGAATTCTAACATAGAAATGCGACTTACCTGTAAGACAGTTACTGCTTTCACTAAATAAGACTCTTCCATCTCAGTAAAATGAGTCGATCTTCCGGCGCCTCTACGAGACACTTGTACAGAATTATGTTCTTGCAATGTTAAATAAGGAATATTGTATCTATTTGCTGTAGCACGAATTTGTGCTCCAGCAGACAGTTCTTGAAGAGCAGCTTCAAAGTTATCGTTCGAATAACGATGCTCTTCATGTTTCCTAACGTATTTACGAGGCATAATAATGTGTAAAAGCGAATTCAAGAATGAGAAAGGCGATAACTTCTGCTGATTTCCAATATTTATACTCACTTAGCGTCTTTAATACTTCACTCAGTGATAATTAATCATTGACAGACAAAAATAATCTACAGTTTCGTCATTCTCATCGCAGCGTCTTTCATCGTTTACAAAACTACTCAATAACTGCTAATGAAAAACAGCTGCATAAACGTCGAACTGGACACTTTGAAAATTCAGTTAATTTTCGCTCTTGGATATTGTCATTACTTTGAAAGAAGTCTAATAATGATACACTAAAACGATTGGTTTTGAAAAAATGTTTGGTGCATCATGAAGAGCATCGTGTACTGTGTATGAATGGTTCAACGTTTTCTTGGTGTCATTGCTAATCAACCTTCTAAGTTGATTATAAGATCAATGAAGACGTTAAAATGTTTCTGGAAAAGACGATCATATAAAGTTAAGGCTTCTGATCCACTCTCTTACATGTATACTCCTAATTAGTGACGGATCCAACCCGCGAGCGGTACGAGCAGCCGCTGATCATGCTTGAGTGATCATAGTTTCCCGTTTTCTCCAATAAGCAAAAGAGGATCCAACTAGCCTTTAGTATAGAAAAATAGCTCTTGAAAAGCTCTACGATATTTTGAGTAAACAAACTCTACATACCTTTGGCTTAGTGCATTATAATTCAAATACGAGAAAAATCAAGGAAATGTACTCATATTTTGCAGTTTTCACCATGAAATTTCAATTTTTTCTCAAAACGAACATCATATTTGGACTGTGGAAAACTGCATTGAACAATCTTTGTTTCGGAATTTTTAACATTGATCTTTCAGCAAATATCTCGGTTGAAAAAATCCGAAAGCAATATATTTGAATTAAAATTGTAGCTACTGCAAAATGATCATATCCATCTAATCATATGTTCCTTCTAAAGCGGAATTTCTGTGAAAGAAGACGTGAGATACTTTTTTTTTTACATCAGTTTCACATATAAAATGACCTTTATTGTTTCATCTCTACGTGATATATGAAATTTCTTGTTTTTATTCGTATATCAGCATTGTGACCTGTATTCTTATTTTTTTCATTCGTGGGATTCTCTGTATGTTGATCTTAAAAATTTCGATGCTCAAAAAATTTTTGATTGAGCGGTATCGATTTTTCGGCCTCACGGCGGCATCATATCGAAAGCAGCGAAGATTTCTGTATCTACTCAGGCATCAGTGCCGAAATCTTTTTTACATAGGCTGCCGGCAGTATAAAAAGTGTAAGTATGAAAAGACCGAACATTTCGATACTATGGAGGGTACTGTACCGAAATCTTCAATACACTTTATCCAAAGTACCAATATCGATGCTAAAATACCGGCAGTTCCCTATTCTACAACCGAGATCTTAAGCCTTACGAGAAGGCAATGCCGTTGTGTTCTCTAAAAAACTAAAAGCTGTGTGCAATTCCGTATGAAATTTGTTTTGACGAAAAAAACCGATATACAAGTTTTCGTTGTCTTTTGAATATCACAAGTTTTAATAAGTGAGAACATGCACCCGCTGCAGACTCATCCTTCCGCACCATCTACGCCAGTATAGTTTTCAGTTTCTAGTATTTACTATTCACTATTCAGTATTGAGTATTAAACTGTTAGTCTTTACTTTTCAGTTTTTAGTATTCAGTATTGAGTATTAAAATTTTAGTTTATAGTATTCTGTATTCAGATTGAGTATTCAGTATACAACTACCACCCTCACCCCCACGAAACAGGCAGGAATGTCGTAGGACAATAATTATTTACTTCATGACGATCGCATGACTTAAAAATCGATGTAATATAGCGAAGTTTCCAAGCTTTAGGAAATTGTTCCAGTTCTAGAGATTGATTAAATAAATATGTTATGATCGGAGTTATGATAGGCAGTCCGTTGTCATGACTTCTGGCCCGACGAAGCAATATTGCCGTTCTGGCAAAATATATTGCCCAAAGAGGCAATATGGTCAGATCGTGCCAGGAGTACCTTGCTCCTTTCGGCCAGATTTCCACATTTTTCTCTCGCAACGCATCAGCGCAGAAATGAAAGCGATGACGCATAAAGAGACTTATTCCACTTGAAAGAGCATCAAAAACTGCATAAGACGACGCCCACCTACAGTGGAGAGGTGCTTGTTTTTTCAGAGTAGGGAAGAAGCATCTTCTAGGGATTTAT